AAACAAAAACACGAAATTCAAAGAAACTCAGCTCAAACATACTTCATACAACGTTTAACATGCTTGAAAAGTTTTAAGAAATATTATGTAGTTTTAAGCGAAAACGAGATCACTAAACTTTACCAATTTTTGACCGTGAAATTTGCATAAATTTTGGCAAAATCGATTTTCTCGATTTTCTCGAAAAATATAAGTAATTTGATCAAACAAAGTATACCTCGATTCTTAGGTCCAGTAGGACTACTAATCATGAAAGTATGAGCAAAATCTAAATTTTGACTGTTGCCACGAAWTTTCGATTATGTTCGATTTTTGCTTACATCCTCTCTTAAGACGTAAACGCTGCACACAACCTTGCGTGATGAAGCTTGATTGGGATCCGGGATCCAACAATGCTCTGCACAAAACTTGATCACCGTCCTCCGTATAAACATTAACAATTGCCGTTGCAAGTAAAACCTCTTTGCAAAAAATAGCAGGCACTTTGAGTAACATTGAAGCATTTACTTGAAGCAGTAGCAGTAKAAGCAGACGWTAATTGATTAGGCTTGTTAACTCTCTTGGACTTCTCTTMARACGCCTCCAGTGCATAAGCATGATCACGAATAAAATCATACATTTCCTTATATGTAGGATTAACGTTGCTTGCTGTGTGTTTTTCCCATTCAAATCTTGTTTCATTGTCTAGCTTCTTTTTCAAAAAGTAAACAATCCAAGAATCCCATTGATTGGTTGGCTCATCCAAATTCCTTAACGCCTGAAGATTTTCATTCACGTTGTTTATCAGCTTGCGTAGATTATAAGCACTTTTCTTGCTGACAATTGAAACATTGAATATTGCATCAAAATGTGCTTCTCGAATATTCTTCCTTTCAAAAGCGATAGAGCAACAGCATAATTGGCATCATTTAGATTTAAATTTCGCACCAGAGTTGCGGCCTCTCCCTTKAGACAAGACTTGAGATATTGCAGCTTTTGAACCGGAGCCAAATTCGGCTTCGAATCCACTGCACACTTGAAACTGTCGAAAAATTCCACCCACTGCTCGTAACCACCATAAAAACTCTTCAATTCGAGTTAAGGCAACTTTGCTTCACTTGAAGACACACTTTTAGAAGATGATAACAAATCCTCGAAAGACTTTTGTTGTTGCGCCGTGATGCGTTGTAAAGATTCAACTTGATTTGTGACGATTTCTTTTACGGCTTGTAATAGTGTTGAATCCAAACTCGCTGTATTATCCGCTGACGATTTTGCTGCTCCCTCACAGAAGAAGTTATCCTKAATTATTTCAATAATTTCTTCAGTGCCGGTACATTTGTCTTGAAACAGCTTGTAAGATAAATGAATTTCTTCCAATTGATCCACCGTWGATTCMWCCAGYAAATYTTCAAAGTATTGATCATATTTCTCCTTGTAAGCGTTAAGAGCCGCTTGCTTACTTGCCAAAATTTTCGCCATAGTTTTCACCTCACCATATTCGGTACTTATACTCCTCATGTAATCGTAAATACAGTCGACTTGATATTTTACACCGTCCCTTTTCTTGAGTAAACGCTCCATTATACTAGGTTGCAAATTTCACCAGAAATGCCGTAGCTGCACATCCAGACAACATTATCCGCTAAAATACCACTAAGTCGCTACTATCATCCGGCTCGAAGGACCATGCTTATATCGTTCAGAAAAAAATCCAATCTTGAATTAACTTATTTATTCGGTTCGGTTCGGTTCGTTTCATTTTACAGATTACTAGAAAGCCTATTGCTTCTATTTATACTACAGTATTCGTTATTCGAGGTTACATCACTCTATTCATACAGCCCCATGACTATGCTCACTATGCTCGCTATTTCGTTTTTGTTATAGCAGTTCCATAAAAGGAAATGCTTAGGAGAGCGAAACATTTGTTTTTCGTTTTTGCTAACATCCCCATCCCCATCAATATCTTTGCGAGCAGAGTCTTCGCCCAGAGGTGGTCTTTAGAGGATGCAAGCTTCTCTACATGTATCTCAAAGACCTCGACATGAAGTTTAAAGATTGAACTTTCTTCCCATGGCGCTGTCTCAGTTTTCTAAAACTTTTGATTTAGAAGAAGAGAATGGATATTTTCCACATTTTTTTAACACTCCTGAAAATCAGAACTACGTCGGTCCCCTTCCACCATTGGAGTTCTATGGTCTATCTACTATGACGAAAGAAAAAGCGGCTAAATTGAAAGAATGGCATGCCTCTAAAGCTGATGATGTTTTTAATCTTCAAGATGAACTGTTGTACTACTGTGAGAAGGATGTGCAACTGCTCAAGAAAGGAGTTTTGGCTGCTCGGCGCATTTTCCTCGATACGGCCGGCTTTGACCCTTTTCACAACTGTATGACGTTGGCCTCGGCTTGCATGGAGACGTACCGGAGAAAGTTCATGCCTGCACAGTCTATCGGTGTCCTCCCTAAGAGGGGGTATCGATGAATTACATTCCAATCCAAAAAAGCCAGAAGGTTCTTGTACTGTTTGTCCAAAAACAACCCTGTACTAAACACCAAGTTGGAATCGTGTTTGTCCGCCCATGGAGAGTGCGTCATCTGTGGCGGACCGGTGGATGGTTATGATCATTCTACTAAAACTATCTATCAATTTCACGGGTGTTACTACCATGGGTGCATTGTGTGTTTTCCTTCCCACAAGGCCTATGGAACTGGTATCAAGAACAAAGAAATATTCCCAGCGGTACGTCGACACCGAAAGACGAACCAGCATTTTTTCTCAATGGAGAAATGACAGTGTGGATCTCTACCACGTTAAAAATGTGCGCTGTGGAGGAGGAGGAAGTGAATATGGTAACCGTTCGCCTTTTGTACTAGACGAGGCAGAGGAGAAATCTGAAGAGGATGATATGACCTGCACAACAACAACAACAGCAACTACTACTACTTCTTTACAGTTAAGCCCATTTCGTAAATTTGAAAAGTTCAAGAACACTTTGTATAATCAAGGTCACTTGATTTTATGTTACAACGGGAGAGATGTGGTCCGCACCTCAACATCTAAAGATGTTGTTTTGGTTATTCCAGAAGGTAATTCTTTGCAAGAAGTTGTGATTCAAGCTGTGATGAGAACAGCCTCTCCGCCGCAGTCGGATCTCTTTGCTGTCGTTCAATGGTGTACTAATGTGTGGGGTGAAGTAGATGTCATCCAGGCCCAATCCAACGGCAAACTGTATGGACGGTTGAACACTGTTCTCCTTCGAGATTTCAACATGAGGTTAGTCGTCCTTGATTTCAACAGAAATGATACCCCTGAGTTTGTCGGAATAAGCAAGAACGAAGCTATTGATGTTGTATTGTACAAAGTCGGATCCCAATATCATTTCCTGATCCATCCAGCCAGACTGCAGCATTACGCTACGCGGCGCAAGCTCTGCCCTACCTGCTTTAGATTCTACACCACCAAGATACGTAAAGAAGAAAAGCCCTTTCTGTATCTAAGCTTGAAAGACATGCAACCGTCCTTAAAATCTATGCGGATGATCGAAAGCAGCGAAAAACACCATCCCTCCAATACACCGAGATAATCCAGAAGTTTAGATGCCATCGAATCCAGCCATGCTTTATTTGCTTCTAATTTAGAAGAAGGAACGGAAATCTCACTGGGTGATTCTCCCTTAACATCACCACCATCTGGTTTGAAAGGAATAATGTTGAAAGGAAATGCCAATTTCATCCATCCATTTTCAACATAATACGCATATTCGTGCGGAGATAGATATTCGCCGTTATGCCACCGATAAACAGGACAAACATCTGCAAATTCATCGTCGCTCTCTCCTTCGCTTTCAGTAACACACGTTTGATCCACACATATTTCCATATCTTACCCCAACAAAGGGACAAAGCAAAATGACTACAATCAGATTTTTTAAAAACACTATATGTTAAAATATGCAAAGTGTTTCTAAATATAAGCATTGTTCCTTTTTTCACCCATGTACTATAATCCGCCTTTTACGCCTTGGAGCAGCACCTTCTGCACTTCCATTATCTCCTCTCTTGAAACACATTTGAGCAAACAAACAAGTATCATCCGGGTCAGTGCGCCCCATCCTGCACTTGAACACAACGCCGTCTTTCCTGAACGTGATGCACGGTTTGGCTTTACAATAATGATCGCACTCTGGCCAATAATTTTCAAAATCCACATTATCTTTAAAATGGCCATTCATCGCTTCTAAGATCTTGGAATAATCCTCTTTGGCTGTAAACAACGTGCACGGCTTTTTACCATCTTTGCTCATTTGAACATAGGTACGACCACACTTTACTCGAATATATAATATTTACTTCATTAATTTAGCTTCTTGATGGAACAAAGATGATGCTATTTCGTGCACTTTTCCCTCTTGTAAACAAAACTCAGAAGAGACATGAGGACCGTTAGAGAGCGACTGCTTGAGCTTTGATTTTTCAAATCGATAATCCTCTTGCATATCATAGATCAAAACCAAATTCTTATCCTCAACAAACCTCAAAATATTTCTTGTAGTTGCCATCAAGAATGCTTTTACAATTCTCGCCTATAAATATATATGTATATCTATTTATAATAAGTTAAACTTGTTTAAATCTATTGTTTAAACAATAAGACCCAGAGACACTGTCGCCCAATATTAGATGTGGTTAGAAACTGATGAAAAAATCCACCCATCATGGAGTTGAAACAAGCCATGAATATATTAGAATCTGAAGGAAAAAGTTTTATGACAATGTATTCAAGAATTGAAAGGTATAAGAAATGCCGCCAATTACCTTGCAAACTTATAATTAAAGGATAACCCAGAAAATGGAGGACTGCTGGAAATAGAAATCCTACATAATGTGAACGCAAAGATACAAAATATTAGAAATGTGAAGAAACACGACTTTTCAAAAAACTTAAGATACACTTGGTTGAAGGGAAATATTATAATCTACGGAGATCCAAAAAGAGTGGCCAAAGATATTGAATGCATGATCGATAACTACAACGAAGAATACTGGTACAGAGATAAAGCAAGAGCCATCTCCGACATGATTGCAGAATTTCTATCTGCTCACCACTACAATGATGGCAATGGTAGAACTGTTAAACTTATTGCATGGTATGGTTTTAAAAAATTGCAAGGCGAGGCGGTAAGGATAGATTTTGCGCCTTATAACACTTGGCTAGAAATACTCGTATCTGAAAGTAAAAAAACACGCTTATATGACTTTATTAAAAAACACATGTAACAAGAAACATTATGATAAAAAAAAACGTTTTTGAATTAGTGAGGGTGATTCTTTCCCCACTGTATGCTAATTTCCCCTTTTCGAAACCTGCGGTTCTTTTTGGGGATTGCCCACAAATTGCTACCGGAAGCCCGCTAGAAACTTCAAAATATCACTTCCGTTTTTTTCAATCATGCCCAAAATACGATGCCCAAAAACATGGCTATATCCAATGTTTTGGTAAGAATTGGAAAACTGTGCGATTTAGTAGATAAGTTAAATAAAAAAAGCCATACTTGTAATAATTTTGTTTATTTTAAAATAAAAACATTTTTTTTAAATAGTACACGTGGTAAATTAACATATGAAAACATTATGTTCCAATATGTTTCCCGATATTTCAACGCAGCAATTTTTGGTAGTATAGGTTAATAACCCCCCCACAATTTAACTTACAGTGAACTAATTTCTTTTGCCATCTGTTTGTCCTGAAACAATAAAATGGCGGGACTAAACATTTTGCTGTTTTTTTGCCCATTTGCATGCATTTGCTGTTTTGGCTTATTTCTTAGATCCGAAGAGTAGTCCTCGAGGAGTTTATTCCACTGATATTACATCTAGTACAGCAGTTATTGGCTGGGARGAAATYCCCAGAAAAGATGCTSGTGGTGAACTTCTTGGMTACATAGTTAAGGTCWYCAATCGTRACWCTTGGAGATATRAACAAGAGGTAAATACAARTGATACATCAGTCATCTTAACGGATCTTTCACGAAGAAGCACCTATTATGTCGAAATTAGAGGTTACACTTCAGTTGGATCAGGACCATCTGCATACCACTACTTTGACACTTTGAGTAAGTCTGCTGTATATCATTATGATTGTAAAATCAATATTGTATACAGAAAATTGTTTTTCAAAATTAGYTTGCCGAATCAAGCAAAGCGTAGATTAAAAAAAAAACGTTTAAAATTAGGACTTGAATTGCTTTTAAAAATACTTTGTTGAAATGCATATACAGTCCTTTGACTAAACCTTGTCGTTGATCAGTCTCATGCTTCAAGCCCGAAGAGGACTACGGGTATAAATTAATATGCATAATTAATTATTCTCTATGTTGATAACAACAGCACAATGAAAAATAAAACTCACATTTGCCTTCGCGTTTTGCACAAGAAAAATAAGGTAATTTCGTAATCCGGTCTTTTGTTGAGGATGCCCTACATTTTAATAATGACTAATATAYTGCTCAAGCACGGACCAGACGAATTAATACCAGCTATGGATAGTTTGATTACTGAAGTAAATCAAATTTTAATGCAGGCAAATGCAAATATGCAAGTGCATGCTGCAACATTCTAATTACTTACTTACTCTTATCTATCAGTGAAGTTGTCTACTCAACACAAGATTCCAGCATAGCTGTTTAAGCAAAAAAATACTTTTTCGTAGTTTATTGGCTATTTCATTTCAAACATTGGTGGACAGGTTTGTACAACAAGTCTGATTACTTTCACAAAGTTTAAGCTAAAACCATTAAGCCAGTCCAGAGTTATGGAGGTGGCTGTCTTGAAAACTAGCGTCTATGGCTTTTTTAGCAAAATGCACGTACATGAGAGTATTGAGGGTGGTCGATTTCATGTTTAAGCATACTTAAGCATAGTCTATGTTGTGTTCAGATCTCATCTATGGTGTTTGACTTTGCTGGCGAAGGTTTGCCACGTGACTAACCCTAGCCACAAGCTTCAAAGTAACCCTAGCACAGGTCTAACCCTAAGTCATAYCTCAACYYTAAGCCTAAGAAAACAACCCTAACCCTAGTCAAGTGTTAGCCCTAGCCCCAATTTCAACAAATAGTGCGAAAAAAAAAGCATTAGTCACGTGACCCTCATTTTTGGAATTAACCCTTTTATTGGCGGGTTCCTGGGAGCTTTTGACTTTCTTTAAGGCAAAAAAAAAAAATGATTTGGGTTCTAATTTAAATGTTGTCAAGGAAACTGCTGCTTATTATTATAACTGTAGGCTCACATTTTCAAGGGATCCCTGCTAGATTTTTGCTCTTGTCTTTGGCTAGCGATCAGCTCGGTCAAAACATCATCAAAACTTGCATCATGAAGCTTGGAGAGGTAGGTGAGGCAATCTTCTGGAAGAAATCAGAAGTGGGAAGCGATTTCACGAATACTGTGGCGATCAATCGTTGATTTCAATACAAAGGCGCCATTGAAATGAAGTCCACTCCCTGGCCGTCTTGTGCTTGACTTCGTAACCTGCCATGCTTATTTTGGCAAGTTTTGACTTTTAAAGAGATCAATTGGCTTGAAATTTTCCTGGTGGGACCAAATGACTCGACACCTAAAAAAAATACTTTCAATGGATAGTGTGGGGCACGTCCTGTCGAGAAAATACACCGTTACCCACAATTCTTCGCGAGTGAAGTTCAAAGAAACAATTGGCTCATGGAGTGTACCCTAAATATAGAGCTGATTCTCGGCTTGCTCAACGAAACTGGATACAAAAAAGAAATTGTTGCAAACTAGAAGGATCAAACATTCCTTCTGATGTTGAATTTTGTCAAGAATGCAGTATTTTGTGCAATAAAATTGAAAAGAAATTCAGGCTTTTTCCAGTTCTGTGGTCTTACGTGAA